AAAAAAAAAAAAAAAAAAAAAAGATTCTACATTTCTCAGTACTTCTGTTTTCCCTTTTTAATAAGTGTCAGGACACAAGTGGACACGTATCAGGTCATTTCAGCAACAATTCAGAAGAACAGATATTGTCCCCACTCCAGAGAGGCCCAGGAACCACTTGTAAAGAAACTAAAGTATTGGTTTCTAATGTTTGGCTTGGTGGTACCTGCAAAGACTTTGCTTGCCTGAGTTCTGAAAGGTTATTCTGTGTAAATAAGCAGAGGTCAGGACTGGAGAAGTAGGGTATAGTCTCAGCTGTGCCATTTCTTAATGTCTGGGACCCCTCCCTGCCTGTGGCTATCATAAGAAACAAACATTTTCTCTGTACTTGACTCTTAGAAACTCCTGTTTTGGGGAGTGCTCAATGGACTTCACTTTGAGCTGATACCTGGGACTTCATCTGGGGACACTGGTGTGTATCAAATGGATCTTTCCCTAAAAGCTCTTTAAGAATGTGTTTTTGGCTCATAGAAAGATACAACAGAAAAAATACTGACTTTACAGTGAGACTGATAGATCATTTTTGTATCATAACTCCAACATATACTGCCTGTAATATCTTGGGCGAGTTTCTAAATCTGTGTCTGTTTCCATAGGGGTAACGTGGGGACAATTACACACACCTGAGCATTGGATGACATTATATTAGGATAATGTTTGGCACATGCTAAGCATTCAGTATATTTTTCCTTTCTTTCCTTCTTAATGTCAAGTTTAATTTGGTTTAGAAATTTATTAATAGGCTTTGGCCTATCAATAGGTTATGGTTCCTAGAGATGATTCCTTCTTGTTGTCTCTATTTCTTTGTAAAGTCAAAGATCTAATTTTAGAACTTGGCTTCAAAGATGGTTTAAAACCTGATAGTGAAAATGTGAGGAAGGTGGATCCCTAGTTACACCAGCCAAAAATGCCCTCACTCCGGATTCCTTTCTTATTTTTCCATATGATTGTTGGTATCTTGAGATCCATGTGGTAGAGCAACAGGATCTTATAAAGAGGATGCCTGCTGACACATCTAGCTTTTAGAATGCGGCTTGAGACTCCACTGACTCCACAGATTTAACTGAGATATCCCATCTGAAACCTCCAGACGCTTGCTGAACTGTACTATAGGGCTGTATCTCAAGTGTAGGTCTCAGAAGCTCAGATGGTCCTTGTAGCCACAACATCAATAACCTCTCATGAAATTGTGGAGAAGAGATTGGCTAGTTATGGCTTTGAAAATTTATTGGCTAGTTCAACCTGACTGAAGGGGAAGGAACTTGAATTACTACTGGAACCTTAGAATTTGCTAGATGAACTAGAATTTGTATTTAGACAAGTTGCAAGAGATGAGTAGTAAGTAATGCAGAAGATGTTTTCTTTAAACAGTCTAGAACCTCTGTAAACTAATTTCCTTAAAAGGCTTCAACTATACGCTCATAATGTTGGAACAAGCTTTTCAGGCTTTTGAGTATACTTTGGAAATGAAAATATTGTCCTTTAATCATGAATATGAATTTTGGAAACATAATCATTCAGAACCACATTTGTAAACAAAGGGAATTCTAACTGGTAACATTTTTGAAATAGGAGTCCTTTGTTGTATATGAAGTTAAAGCAGTCAGGCTAATATCTTGTTTCAGGGGCTTTTGGTAATTTATTTTGCTTTAGCAGGTGTTTCTTGAGTACTTTGTATGATTGTCTGACACTTCTCTTTGTAGAAATGTGCTTTCAGTGATGAGAATGTGTGAACAGTAGAATGAATCTAGATCAGGATTGAAGCTTGGCCTAGCTTTGGACATTGGGACATCAGGAAAACTTTTAAAGATTTATCTCTGTCTCTGACACACACACACACACACACACACACACACACACACACACAATATACATTTTTGAAGATCTGTAACATAGAAGGTCCAGTGCTGGGTACAGCGTCCTCAATAAAATTGCATTGGTTTGGGATTACTTAGGATTTGGGGATTATCCTTTGTTCTTCTTCAGTGACACTGAGAATCACCTATTTGCAAGGGTATTGAGAGAATTTGCCATTTGGGCATGCCCAGAATACATTATGCACAAATATATGCATGCGAATAATAACATTTGGCCTTAAATTACCAGAAAGCTAGAGACTGATTTTCTCCACAGTACACAAAAAGGCTGGTTTTTTCGTCTTCTAGATAATGAAAAAATTGATATAAATTATATCCTGAACTGCCTAGAATGACATCTTTGCTAGGACCAGGGAAAAGTAAACCTCAGACTTTTCTAAGTTACACCAATAGGATTAAATTTTAATTCATGAATTAATACAATTAACGTTATTGATTATTGCTATTATCTGTGATAAGTTCAGTGGTTCTCCCTTTAAAAATTACTTATGTTTTTAACTTATAAATAATAGGTCAATTCACTCATGCACTCATTCCTGGCTTCTGGCACAGACCAAGCCTCAGGATTTAGGTCTTCTGGGACTGCTCAATTTAATGACATCTGAGCATATGGATTATAAACAAGAAAAATAATAAAGTGGGATCTGGGGCTGGGAATGTATCTCAGTAGTAAAGCCATAGCCTAGTAGGTGTGAGGTCCTGTGTTTAATATCTAGCACTGCCAAAACAAACAAACAAGCATGCAAACCATCTCGTGGAACCTATAGAAAAAAATATAGCTGCAGTGTGTTACTTTTTCTTCAGTATATTTTCTTCCCTAGGGACTGTTTTATCCAAAAAAGGGTCACTAGGTCACTAGCTTAGCAAGATAATTGCAAAACACAGGTAGACTAATTA